CTCAGCCAAGTCTGTTCCCCTACGATCATTTGACAGGCTTGAGTGCCAAATATCGTGGTGCGCGTTAAAGTCACCAACTACCATACGGTTTTCACCTCTCAGTAGCGCACCTATTTCAGGGTGATATCCTGCCGGCAGCTGGTGACAGGGGGTATGTATACGTTAAATATTTCGAGCTCAAGATCGCCTGACCGGATAGCAATACCCTGACATTCTAGGATGGTATCCCTGCGGTCGATGTCTGCTTCAATAAGGCGATACTGCACGGTGTGGTGCGTGATGAACGCTAAACCTCCACCATTGTCTCGCTCGCGATCTCGACTGTGCACGTTGTATCCGGCGCAATTCAACAGGGTTGAATTGCCGTGCAACTTCGTCTCTTGGACCGCAGCTATTAATATTCCATGCCTTCCCATAAAGATAGTTATCTCCTCGCTCTTGCTGTGGAGTCCGTTGCAGTTAAATTGTAGCACCTGTGTGTGCCTTGGGACACCGATTGTGATGTGCGGTGTTAAAGAGTTGTGTTGCCTGCCGGCTCCCTACTGTATGTCCTGCAAAAGGGGGTGCTGCCTTGTGGTGGTGGTTGGCGGCGTCGCGGGGGAGGGATGCGACTAGGCAGCACAGCAGGGGCCCACATAGTCACTCGTCCAATCTCGCGTGTTGCGGAGTCCTGATTATGCCCTAAAGTGGCACCAGCCGAGGCAGGAGTTGAACTTGACTGATGTCACGTTACGGTATATTCTGGACTGACAAACAGAGCAGATTGTCGGAGGGACTAGGAGTTGCCGGCGGCGGTGTGTGGGTGCTATTATGTATGTTTGTGTGTCTATTGTTGTGTTGTGTTGGGGTGTGGGTGTGTTGATTGTGTGCTGCCCGAGCGGGTGGTGGTTTGCCGTGGAGGCGGTCCGGTTCACACAGCATGGGGCCACGAACGACGTGGTCCATTGCCGGTGCATACGTAGGCCCGAGCAGTTACGGAAGTGACTCCACCCGTCGCAGTCATTGCACCTGACCGAGGAGGAGTTTGTATGCAGTCGTCTCTGGCATCAGGGTGTCCAGATTAAAAAAAAAGCGCAATTTCTGAAAAAAAATCGCCAAAAATCGCCAATTTTTTCCTAATTCATGAAATCGATTTAACAAATCTTTTATTTAAAAAATGACATCTTGTTATAATATAGTTTTTAAAACCAAAAGCGAATATAATACCTTCAGAGGGTAATAATAAATAACACAAATCACTTATATAATAGTGATGTACAAACAATTTTCTTTAAAAATACGCATACTTTTTAAAAATATATGTTTCAACACTTGTTGCAATAGGACTGCGCAATTATTAAATTTATTATAACTCATATTAATTGATTAATCGCACAATCCGTTTTAAGAGCTCGGCGCTAAAAATTAAATAAAAACCTATAATGAGGCGAGATCAGCTATTTCCACAATTTCTTCAAAATCAACTGTAGGGTCTTATGATTTACATTTCTGTTGTTGTCATATATTGAGCTATTCAACCTTGATGACATACTGTTTGATATTGGAAACGTTTTGCAGCAGAAACCAAGATAAAAAAAATAGGAAGGTAGAACCGCTGAGAGGAATTTTTCAAATTCTTGACGTTTGCAAGCAATTTAATTTTAAAATTTTACACACAAACTCACACACACATTCTCATTTTCAATCTCAAACAACAACAACTTTGAACAATTCCTTTTTTTTTACTCTCAATTTTATACGATTTTAAAATGTTGGCAAACTTAAAAAAACTCATGGCCGACGCATTGAGAGAACGGTTTTACCTTACTATGCTTTTATCATGGCAGAAACTATTAGCCTTCATATAACACTTTATTCCAACTATTGAATTATATTTATATTCCGAATATTAGTTTTTGTTGAATTCATTACGGAAAAAACGCGCTCAACAAAGCATGTGAGTGCGACAAGGATAATAATATGAATTTACTTATATTTGCAAACAGTTTATCGCCTGTTGCGGTTTTAACTCCGTAAGCAATTATCCAAAATTCTTCAGAGTCGGATGGAATGATGATGATGATGAGTTATTCCATGGGAGAGTTAAAATATTTAAATATTCAGTTTCCGCTGCCTTTCTTTCCATCAAAGTCAAATAGTGAATTGACAGGTCTCTGAAACTCGCCCTCTTGTGATTCACACACTTTTTTGGTGACAAAATCAAAGCTTTTTTAAAAGTATTTAATTGACTAGGTAATCGTTTCAAAATTTCTACGATTAGGGTGATTAAAAATTTTTCCCAGTCTTTTAATATGCTTCTTAAGTCAAGTTTATCACGCAGTTCATTAGCCTCTTCTGTAAAATTATCGTGGAAAACTAAGTTTTGTATATTTTTATAATTGGAAAAAATTTATTTGAAAGGAAAAAATAGTCAAAAATCACCAATGACGGTTTCCTAAATTTTTACGCGCAAATATCCAAAAAAATCGCCAAATTGGCGCGAAATCGCCAAATCCGGACACTCTGTCTGGCATACGCAGCAGGTGTAAATTTCTGGCCCTGGGTTAGACTCTATACCAGCCCTGAGCAGAAGGGTACGAAGCAGACGTAGCCCTGGAATCGAGCAACGTTTGATGGATTACGCCGACCTAAACGGGGTTAGATCGCCGAAGCAACAGCCCTTGGTCGGGTAAAACCCGAGTCATTCCGGTACGTAGAACCGGCTGTCGTGGGAATGTTCCAAACGACTTGCTTTTATTCAATGATTTTTCCATGAAACAAAAAAAGAAGGTAGTTCCATTGTCACTTTTTCGGCGCCATATTAACAGTCTGACAATTAAGTAGATTGTGACATTTCGTGCTACCATACCCAATATCTAAAATCCTCCAAATTTGGTTATTATTTTTTTGTTTATATACTAACATTTTTTCTTAGAATCGTATTTTGAACAAGCAAAAGGTATTTTGGGTTATTGGGCCGTATGCATAAAAACTGAGCAATTGCTTTTTCTTAAAATATATCTTTCACTTAAATTTATTTGAACGAATTGAGTACAAGGTCTGAAATTAAAAAAAAGCATTTGCTTAGGTTTTATGCATACATCCCATTGTGTCCAAACGCTTAACCCAAAGCACAAAATTTTAGCACACACGTGTGGTCAAACAGTTAAACGTTAGTTTAAAATAAAGATTTCAAATTTTCAGATACAAATTTTTTAATAAATTCGGTTTAAAATATGGACCTCTTTGTAAAAAATACTGTGGTCAGCGTAGCCGTAGTTGGACTTACATTTTCTCTGTCAAAATGCTAATTTTACTCCATTTTTCAATGAATCCCCCTCCGTCTCCGCTCCCCACCGCAAAACCGTTGAATAAATAACCGAATATTTCCCCTTTTGTTTTTGAAAGAGAAGAAGTCTAATGCTCAATAAGATGATAATTGTGTTTCTAGTTTTCATACTAACAATAAATCATCAATGTTGTTTCACACCCCCTCCAATATTGGACAGTAAAATATATTTATTTTTACGCAAAGAAACAACGATATTGTCGAAATATACTAGAATTGGATAATACTCTCTTCTCTGAAAGTCATGGGCTAATGGGCCCAAAGTAAATTCCGTTTTCAAGTTACTTGAAAGACATGGACAAACCCAATATCGAAATGCGTAATTTCAGTGTCTGAATAATATCAGAAACAATCGTATCCGACATAGAAAACTGTAACAGTCGCTAGCTACATTGTGAAATATTCCGGTGACATAATGACACTAAAAAAATTGTAAATTGTGTTCACTAAAATTTTATTAATGTAAAATTAAAGACTTTCGCAAGTAGTTATCGAATTTAATGTAAAATTTAAACGTTTTTAAGATAGGATATTAATTATTTTTAAAGGTAAATGTTAAGACAACTGTTTTATTTATACTCTCAAATTTAGGATATAAAATTCTCTCCACCAAAAAACTTAAATTGGGTAACGCCGCTTCGAATTTTTTACAATTGAGCAATTGTCAAAAATCTGCTTTTTAATCAAAAAGTTATTTATTGAAACTACCTTCTTTTTTGTATCATGGATTTTTCATTTCATTTAACAATCCAAACCTTATATACTTAATTGTGTAACATCCAAGCTGAGATCAAGCAAGTATTGAATACAGTGCAGTAGAATTAATACAAGATGATGACAATATGTACTATTTAGGTAAATAAATTACATATCTTTGATTAAAAAAAACTTACCGAACCTTTCAGATAACAAAATATAAGCCTTACCCGGGTTCCACATAAACCAATCTTGTGGGCAAAATCAGCTTCAGGTACTACGAAAGCTTTACGTCGTTCTTCTAATTCCTGTGAAGGTATCAGACCAATTCGTTCAGATTGTTCATGCGTATTTTTTGCTTGCCACCAATTCGGATCTTTTACACTTACTATCTGTAGAATATAGCATAAGAAAAATCTTTTTCGAAAATTTTGTTCCAACAAACCTGTAAAATGTCACCCGATTTAAAAGGCAATCCAATATCTTTGCAAGGCAGCAGCGAGTCCTCCAATGGATTATAATCGAATAAAGCTCGCATAAAGCACTAAGAGTAAAAATATTTAAGTATGAATGATAAATAAATACCGAAATTATCAAATATCTATATGTAAAACATGTAGCAAAACTCTGCAAATAAAATATAATATAAAAATTTCCAACTAGGTAATTAAATGACTAAAATCATTTATATTTTTCAAGGACCGAGAACAAAAGGTATGATCGAAACTAAATGTCGGTCTCGTAACTTTTCGAAGAGAACACAATGGGAACAGAAGTATACGGAACGTTTTGGAAAAGAACTAAAATAGTCTAAAGACATTTTTCTCGAATAACTTTTTTTGGGAACTATTTATTTATTTAATTATAACTATTTATATAACAAAAGAATTTTATTATATAAATACATAAACGCAGCACTGGCAACGAGGCCTTCACCCGTCTTTTAATTATCGATAGGTAGAAAGTTTACGTGCTATGTGTTAGTACAGATGTAAGTACAAATCTTAGATAAATTTTAGTAAATCATTGTTTTTAAAAATTGTATACAATCATAATGTTTTTTTCAGAAGGTTCACTTAGTAATTTTGTAACATCAATGTTGTCAGAGTCGTGGGCTGCTGTGTGAAGAATCGCGCTGATGTGTGAAGAATCGCGCAGAGTGTGAGAATGTGTTTGATAGAAGCTTAGATAGGGGCTTATACCCGACAGTAAGTGGGCATGCGTTAAGATAGTGTGCCCTATCCTTAATCGGATGTATGTCTTCATAGCGCTGATTGGTAGTGTTGACGTGTAGGTAATCCGATTTCTGTCTGGGTTAATGTCCGTGTAATGATGTTCGTATGTTTTCCATTCGCTTGCGTTTTCTTGGTGCCTTTTGCGCATAATAAGGTTGGAAATGTCTTGCTTTGTTAAAACATTGTACGTTAAGGCCGGCGTTCTGACTAAATTTTTCGCTGCAAAGTCAGCATAGTGGTTACCTCTAATACCAGCATGCCCAGGAATCCGCATTACCCTTATATTCTGAGGGGAGCCAATGACCGCGTCTCTGATATATTCAATTATGGAATTGTGATTGGACGGAGACATTATTGCCGAGATGCATGATCTACTGTCTGTACATATAAGGAACTTTCCTCTAGACAGAACGTATTGAAGGGAGAAGCCAGTTGCAAATTATTTCTCCTGTGCCAGTGACAACCGCGAATGAGGTGGAATCGATGGATTTGGAGCCGTCCGCAAACAATAACTTCCAACCGCTGTTTATATAGTTAGATTCCAGCTCAGCATATGTTTGTTAAAAAACTTCGTTTGATGTGTGGGAACTAAAGTCTCAGGAACTTTCTGACAGAGAACGAAACGGGAACAAATCCTCTCTGAACTACTCGCGAAGAATGAAAGCCAGAACAACATTTTTCACATAGCATTCGTTAGTTTGAAATATTAAAATTCGTTAGATTGGAATAATAAAATTTATCAAAAAAGAACTGAAAGATAATTAAGTGGTAATAAGCAATAACCACCTAAGTCGATGTGTATGTGAAATCCCCATTTCGCCAGCTAGGCTATTTAAAAATTTATAGACGAACATATTTTGCTTTCCCCATAAGGCTGACATTACAATCCAAATATTTAAAACGTTTTTTCACGAAATAAGGTTCTTCGACTTAGACGGTTATTGCTTATGACCACAGAATTATACAAATTAACTCAACGAAAGACTTAAGACACGAACTTTTCTTGAATAGAATATTGTTCCATAAATGGACAGTTCACCCTAATGATAAGAGATCTCGTTCCCGAAAGTTTCGTTCTCATTCTGTTCTTCTTGAGAACGTTGTCAAGAGCTTGATTCGCATTTTGTTCTTACGGAAACGTTCCCGTACCTTTTGTTCTCACTTGGTTTTCGATCTTACAGCCCTCTGTTCCCGGAATTAAACCAAAACTGGAACGCGTTATCGGTTATTGATATTCCGCACACTACAAAAGAATTGCTTCCCATAGGCGCACTGGAATCCTTTTCCAGTGTTGATTATAAAAGCATTTGCAACCTTGCCATTGCTCTCTCTTTTTCATCGCCACCTGAACAGAAGACAGCAGGGATCGTAACACCTGCAACTAAAAAAAAAGTTCTCTACAACACCGTTGGAGGTCGACATCTACTTACCTGGATTCATCTCATATTATCGACGCGGGAGTTGAACAACATCGCGGAGTTTCACCTGCACTTCAGCAAACTAAGTATCAACCATCTATACATATATTAATATTATCCACCCATTTCAACTTTACCATTCCCGTTGCGCGAGTTCCCTCCGAACTCCGCAACCCAAATCAATTGCTCAATTCACATTATATTTGCTAATCAACCTGTCATAAATCTCATCATACAGTCCATTCAAAAAAATCGTTGTTAAAATATTAATTAGTTCTAAGTACATTTTGTAAATGAATTACAAGTTGGATTAAACATTACTTTGCAAATTTTAAATCGCAATCTCGTAATTTCTTAGGATGGTCCTTGCGAGCCAAATTTGAAACAGTGGAAAAGCAACTATTCCGACATTAGAAATTACGCTGCTCAACACTGAACGGCAGCTGTCATTTCCAATATTTCTATTTTCTCGCTCATTCCCTTCGTTATCTTCAGGCGCACCAAATCGGCAACGGCAGCAGACACCGCGATAAAATTAAAAAAATTTGAAGTTTCCACAGCGAGTGACAAGCCGTTTTTCCCAATCCGTATAATCGCTGCACCAAGCGATTTGTGGTTTAAAAATCAAAAAGTTAATAAAACAAAAACAAAAAAGTGTTGTGCTAAGTGCTAAGCATAGGCAGATTATCTGCCAAAAGCATATAAAGGCCTAATTCCTTTGCACCCAAAAGTTCTAAGCTTCTCAGTGAAGCAATTTTACGTGTGTGAAAAGTGCTTGCGGCACCTAACCAAACGCACTTTGGTAACTTGCGCCCAACGTGGGATCCATTTGATTACAGCCAAGGAGTACAGCCGACCATTGTTGGACCACAGGGCAACCACAAGCATCCACCGCGGGATTTTATTTAGTCACCAGAGGCCACCGAGGGAGTAATACCCGAAAATGAGAGGTACCCATCCTACGCATGTCAAATATATTCATGTACATATGTATATACATAAAAACACCACACAATTTCCTTAAAAATTTTGCATATATCTACCAACTGTACAATTCGGTAAAATATTCACCGTTACCCGAAAAACGGTTTCATGAAATATATACGCGGTTATATATGTATGTACATATTTACACAGTTTCACTCGCTACTTTTCATCAAATTTGCACTCGTTGTTTTCGCTAACTTCCATCCGTATGTACATACGCATATTTGTATAAGCGTATGTATGCATTGTTTCGCGTGTCACATTCCCGATATCCCTATTAAAACCAACAAATATTTTTCTGCTGCCTGCGTCGGCGCCTGCAGTAATCACAGTTTATTATACCTCCTTCGTTTTGATGTACATATGTATGTAGTTGCGCTACATACATACATACATACGTGCATATAAATTTATTGCAAACGAACACAGCGCCGTTGGCACCGGCGTTTAGCCAAATTATTCGTTGATCCAGTTTCATTTTCTTGTAAGAATTTCTATGCACATGTACATATGTATGAAATTGCAATTAATACAAGAAGTGTGTCAACCCAGTAGGAAATCCTACAAGCACTTGCGACTTGTGGAAGTCTGAGTACATTCGACTTGTACCCAACATCTAAATATAAAATCATTTTAGTAACAATCCCCATCTTTATTAATCACTCAAATTATACTACGTATATAATACTGCGAGAAAATATAGAAAAAAATTTTCATTACTTCAGACGTGTGTATGTCTGGATTTGCATTGGTACACACATATAACCAAATTAATTTCCCATTAAAATTATAATTTTTTATTTACATTCCAAAATAAAAAGTGGTGTTCCAGTGTACTTAATTCGCATTGCTTAGCGTATAAAACAAAAGGCAGTGTATATTCTCCATATTTCCAAAATATTAAGGCCGATAAGAACGTTGTAAAGTGATTGACTTTTGGAAATACTAGAGGCATACAAAATCCCTTGCGAATAGGCTCATCTTGTGAGAGTAGTGCCTTGAATTTACAATCAGTTTCTCGAATATTGGTGACTTTCTCCAGTTTACACTTCCAAAAGTAACTTCTCGATTCTAATAGCCCTCATTAATATCCAGTATGTCGGTAGCTTCCGCATTAATGTCGAAGTTTATCTTCGATTCTAACAATGTGGTGAATTTCTGCACCAACTTCGAAAAAGAAGATCCGGAAGATCATACCGATTCTTTACTCGATGTAAAGTTGCAAGACCTTAATTCCCGTTGCGACATGAAAAAGTCTGCCTTGCCGAAGAGATTTCAATTTCTGCCGATTTTAAGGAGGAGGCCCATGCTAAATTTCAACTGTGCACCGATAGTTTTTATATTTGCAAATCCCATATCCTAGATCAACTCAAGCTTTTACAGGGCAGCCCAACCGACAAAAATTCCACTTCCCGCCAGTCGATGGCTTTCATCGATAATTCGATACCATGTATGAAAGTACCTCCGTGTGATACCCAAACGTTCTACGGTAGCTATGAGGATTGGCCATCTTTCCGTGATATGTTCACGGCCGTATATCTTAACCACCCCAAGTTAACACCCGCTCAGAAACTTTACCATTTGCGAAACAAAACTAAGGGAAAAGCTGGCGCCATAGTTAAACATTATACCTTGTGCGATGAAAACTTTTCTCTAGCATGGGAAGCTTTAAGAGCCCGTTTCGAAAATAAAAGGATTTTAATCGACAAACAGTTGAAGACTCTTTTTTACATTTCTCCCGTGTCATCTGAAAACAGCGAAGGCATTCAGAAAATCCAAAGCACCATTAATGATTGCCTTTCGTGCCTGAAAGCGCAAGGTGTTTCCTTTCCGACTGGGACCCTATTCTTATCTATCTTTGCTCCACCAAACTTCCAGAGGAAACCCTCTCCCTCTGGGAGCAA